CCAGGCGCCCTGAAATTTATGGTTTTTGAAGCATGTTTGCTTATTGTAAGGGGATGGGAATATATTTTTTCCTACTCGATCACTCTGCATATATGTAAATATATATGTATGTATTACTAATGCAGAGCCTTAAATATTAAACGTGGATTTCCACTTTTTAATAGTTTCTTTCCAATAATGTAGCGTTTAACAGAGTAATAATTTTTTTATTTTGTTGTCACATTTTTACTTTTTAATTATTTATAGTTAAAATTATGTTACAAATCTATGACATGGGTGGAATTAGTTTAATGTAGTGTAATGAAGATTTTTTAAACATAGTTTTGGTAACTATCTCATTTTTCTTGGTATGTTGCCAAAGATAAAAAGGAAGTTCATGCTTTCTTAGGTTTTAAGGTTTTATTCACAATCATTCTTGTCTATTTCTGACCCAACAAATATTTTCTTTGGGCATTGAAAGTGGAAAAGAGAATCTGTTTAGACAGAGACATTTTAAAACTTGTGCTTAATTATACGACCCTTTTATGAACATTTTTGAATTTTTAATTCTTATGTAAAAGCTGTTACTTAGCCTTGATTTGGTATTTTTAGACATTCATCAAATTGTCATTTCATTATTTTAAAATCAGTCCTCTTCAGGAAATAGATGACTAATATTAATGTCATCATTATCAGGAAATAGCTCAGCATCTGTGTGATATTTTTTTAGATGTATTGAAATTCTTTTACAGGTTTGGTTTTTATAGCACATCTTAGCTAGTTACTGTGTTATGGAGGAAAAGATTCTCATTATTTTGGCATAATGGAGCTAGCTACATGATTCTAGAGAAATAAGTGTTGAGTGGGAAGACTTGGCTAGTAGAAGTAAAACATGGATTCTAAGGAACTAAGTTACCTTCTGAAAGTTTGATTTGTGTTGGTAGAAGGGGAGTAGGATATAAATGATGAAGCAAAGGCAGGAAACATTCTTTTTTTTCCTTATCAACCTTCATATAATAAAATATTTAAAATGCTCTCTCACCCTTAAATATCTTCATGCTTGGAAATAACAGAACTTGTGTCTAAGGGTATGCTTTAGGATATTTGGACTTTGTTTTTATTTTTGTTTTTATTTTTATTCAGGTGTTGGATTAAAAGTAATTTAGTACTCTGAGATTTACCATTTTAGGTTTTTGTCATGCACACAGTGTCTTCTATGGGAATATAAGCTACTGATAACATGATAAAAAGATGCATGTATTTTATTGACTATTGATTGATGCATGTATGGCTCTTGGTGCTACAAAAATATATGTATTAATATCCATGGCCTTTCTTCCTGTTATAATTTACAATGTAGATAATTTGTTAGGATTTTGTATTATTCCTGGAGGACATTAGTGACTAAAATCTTATCAGATTGTTATATGTACAAATTCAATACTCAGGGGCACCTGGGTGGCACAGTCGGTTAAGCATCTGCCTACCAGGATCCTGGGATCGAGTCCCGCATCAGGGTCCCTGCTCAGCAGGGAGCCTTCTTCTCCCTCTGCCTGCCACTCCCCCAGCTTGCGCACTCTCTCTCTCTCTCAGTCAAGTAAATAAATATCTATTTTAAAAAAAGAAATTGAACATTCAAACCTAGCTCTTTTTGATGAAATAAGTACTGTGTTATTTTTATCTTTAAGTAAAATTTTCACTTCATTTCACTGATGTGCATTATGATCTTAAATGCCGTAATTTTTTAAAGCAATAGATTACTTCTGCCTTGAATGTGATTGTAGAGTCCTACCTAATGAAGATTGGAGGGAAAGATTAAAACATTACAAAGTTTCCTTTTATTTAGGTCAAAAACCAAACTAGGGGTTTTGCTTATTCATTTTAGGAACATTTTTCAATCTCTTACTGAATAAGAACATTATACTTACTTATTCTTATTAAAAGTTTGCTAAGGAATGGCAGGATTTCATTTTTCTCCTGTATTACCAGTGAGATGGGACATAGGAAACAAAAACAAGTTTTCAAGTCCCTTTTAATCTGGTTTCTCTGTTTATCTTCTTTTTGTTTCTATTCATTTACTCATGCATTACATCTGATATTTATCTAACTTGACTATCTTTTAGGTACCAGAGACCACTTCATCAGTGTTGCTTCTTTCTTAGCTGTTCTTTTTTCTTTACATAATGGCTTCCGCCTTTGAGTCCTAGGTGTAGTTATAGATAGTACCATGTACTGAATGTTAATCCACCGCTGTCAAAGTTATTTGTCCTGACCAAAGAAGACTGAAAATTATTTGAATAATTATTTTCTCAGTGATCTCAAGAATATATAATTACTAGTATTCTAAGAGAAATGTTATTTAATTACATGCTAAGAATGCTTTAGGTCGTGGTTCTCAAAATGTACTCCTGGACTCACCCCTTCAGAGGTCCAAAAGGTCAGAAATTATTTTTTTAATAGTTCTAAGACAGTATTTGCCTTTTATGTTCCCATTCTTTAACAAGTGTGCAGTGGAGTTTTCCAGAGGCTACATGGTGTATAATATTAAAATAGCTTGAATACAGAAGCAGATAGGAGGATTTATTCTCTTCTGTTCAATGCAACATTAAAGATATTTACAAAGAGGTACAACAGTGCTATTTTTGCTAATTTTTTGTTGTTTTGGAAAAGACACATTTTATAAAATACATTATGCTAACATGTAATGAATTTTTCTGTTTGTAATTAATAAATGGGGTAGTCCTCACTTTGCACAGTTCCAATATGTACTATTTCAGTTACTACAATTCAGTTAATACCAGGCCTATAATAACACAGTTTGAGTTTGACTACTGGGATATATGAACTGTGAGTAATTGCATAAAATAAAATTTTGTTGCTGGCACCTTAGTCTACAGATCACTGTGTTAATAACAAATGCACATCATGATCAGTGACCAGTCACATCTCTTTTTTCTAAGTCTGCCTAGCATTGGTCACTGTTCATGTGTTATTAGTCCATGCACAGAAATCAAATCCTGTAGTTGTGTTGCTTCCTTGTGTCTTGGTGATAAACCCACGTGATGTTTTACAAAAATGGATAATTGAAAGAGTGAACTGACCAACAAAGATGAAAATGTGGCGAAGAAATGGAAAGTGCTGACATTGGAAGTGAAATTTGAATTGAACTCAAGTGGAATTATAGAAGAAATAGTTAATCACAAGGGCTCCTGGATGGCACAGTTAAACATCTGACTCTTGGTTTTGGCTTCAGGGTCCTGAGATCAAGCCCCGCAGAGTCTGCTTGAGATTCTCTCTCCCTCTGCCCCTCCTGTGGTGCTCTCTTTCTCTAACATAAACAAATCTTAAAAAAGAAAGAAAGAGTTAATCATGGGAATACTGACACTGCTGCTATTCAAGGGAATTTAGGTATGCAGCCAGAGGAACTTAGTGAAGGTGAATGTATTGATATAAATGAACAGAGTGGTTATGACAAAAAGGAGGTCCCAGCAGAAGTGGTGCTGGCAAGCGACTTCACATTATAGGGCCTCTCTGAGATTTTCACAATTGAAGGTGCAAAGGATAAAATGTTGGAAACTGGTCCATACTTAGAAAGGAATAATTTGCCAAGGCATAGAAAATATGCTCGGTCCATATCTTTAAGTTATACAGTAAGAACACAAGCACTGTTCAAACTACTGTTGGTAAATTTTTTTTTTACAAAGAAAACCCTTAAATTCTCAGTATTTCTAATGTTTTAAATCATAGTGTACTATATAAGTGTTTTTTTTTTTCATTCCCCTACACATTATAACTGGCGACGAAGAGAGTTTTTAGTGTAGAGTTTTTAGGTGTAATCATATACACAAATCTCTTTATATTACCCTTTATACTTATCTCTTCTATTTTCTATCCCTATTGAATAGTATAACCAACAAGCCTAAAACCTAAGAAATAGTTTGTACTCCTTTATCTCCTTCATAGTTTACATTTCTAATTACTAACAGCTCTCATAGTTTTCCCCATTGCTTCCTTCCTCACTGATTGTCCTTACTTAGGCACTCATTTGTCACCCTTTATAGGGTATGACTATAAAGCATGGCATGAGGCAATTGCTTGAGATGACAGAACTGTCCTGTATCCCAACTTTGATGCTGGTGACATGAATGTTGTTACATGTTAACAATCATAAACTTTTTTTTGTCTTGTCATGGTATTGGCATGTAAATGTTTCTTTGCTATTCTTTCAAAATGGGGCTTACTAATAAATCAACAAGTACTTACTGACAGCAGTGTTCAAGGCATTGTCCTCTGTGCTGAAGCTGAGGAAGATATAAATGTGCAGAAGATATGTTTCTGCACATTTATATGTATGTCCCTGAAGGAATTTATATTCTAGTGAGATAGATACTACAGATAACAGCAGTAAGATAAACTGTAATTGTCTCTTAAAGGTCCGTACAAACAAAATGCTTGTGCTAGGAATGTGGAGAAAGATAATTCTTCATTGAAGAGGTGGCATTTGAGCTGTCTTGGAAAACACATTGATTATGACAGTCAAAAACAGACAAAGGACATTCTGATAAGAAGGAAAAATATAGCACACTCTACAGATGTGTAATTTTTCCTTTTTATAAAGCCCATAAAAACTTTGGATCTACACTTCATGCATACTTGCATCCTGTTTCATTCAATTTTGTATTCAAACTCTTAAAAGCATTTGCGTCTGACACTTAAATTTCTTATAAGCAGTATGGTAGCTTTTGAGTTTTTGGATTTAATAATTTAGGTCATTTTTGAATTCTGATTTTAATGTCTGTGAAGACAATGAGCTACTCCTAAGTCTTATTGTGTTCAATAGATAGTAAATATATAACTAAAAGCCTGATATTTATGTAAAATTTTCTATTCACAGAGAAAATTTTAATAAGTAGAGTTTTCAGTATATATAATACTTATAAAGTATTTTTATAATACTTCCCCAGATGGCTTTCTTTCCATTTTTACTACTTAAGTGAATGAATCAACTCTTTTTTTCACAGGTTTTCTGTGAAGACCCTGATTGATCGGTCCTGCTTTGAGACAATTGATGATTCTTCTCCTGAATTTAACAATTTTGCAGCTATTTTGGAACAGATTCTAAGTCACCGGCTAAAAGGTAACAGAATTAATGTATTTTTAGTCTCACAACAACTTTCTTTTTTATAAGCTTGAAATTTTAGAATCCATACAGTCTGGTATAATTTAGATAATAGCCATATTTCATCTTGAGAAACATAAAACTGATTTTGGAATGCCTAATCTTTTGACCTATCCTTTGTCCCTGGAAATGAATTTCTTTTCTCCAATTTATGCCTGTTTCCAGGGTGCATTAAAAGTGTTGAGTGCCTTAAGTGTCTCATACAGGGAGCAGAGTCACTTTCCGTAAGTAATTAAAATGAAAGCTTAAATTAAACAGAAGCCCATCTTCGAAGGTTACTGGATGGTATTTTAACCAACTTACCAAGAAGCATCCAGGCATTAAGTTTGTTTGCTTAATCTCTACTTCATTAAACTTTGGAATCTTTGAAAAATTTTTCACCATAAATAGTTGAAAGAAGTATGTAAAAAAAATATGCTCAACTATGGTTTTAAAATAAATCAGTAAATATATTTACATTAGAAAGATAAATCTCTTAAAATTTAGAAGGTAAGATGGGAGCAGTGGTCTCTCAGAATTATAAAATATGTTTACTTTAAAAATACCTGTAAAATATAGATGATAACACCAAGAAATATTATGTAGCATAATTCTTAGTAGTAATAACTTTATTACATTAATTCCATTATCTTGTCTTCCTAAAGGAAACCTGATCATCAGATGTTTTCACTTAACTTTTTATTAACTTTATTATCTTAATGGTATAGTTTCAAATCAGTAATCTGTTTTGGTAATATAACTTATTAGAATCTCAAATTTAAGCTAAAGGATAATTTTCCATGCTTTTTGATGGTGAAAGCCTCAAGTTTTACTCGTAGATGTTTAAATCCGTTGAGCAGTCCTGTGGGCCTATAACAAAGGGTTGAATTTAATTACAGGCGAAAACAAAATCTGGACTCAGTCAGCCTTTTGCAATTTAAAATGAGGTCCATAAAATCACTGATGCTTTTCTGTTAAAAGTTTGTTATTTTGCACTTAAAAAGTTATGTTTCTTATTTTTGCTGCTCTGTATTTCCTAAATTTTCTGCCATTAATGTTCCCTTTTATATGAAAATAAGTTTTTATAAAAGCAAAGGATAGGAGAGTATTTTGAGATACTGTCTGGGTTACTATATTGTGTGGTGATAAAATTTAAAAATTTTACATATAAATTTATAAATAATACATGACTAAAAAACACATGCAACACAGTAGACCTTGGTGTACCTTAATGTTCACAAATATTTTATCATAATACTTCAATTCCCTTAATTCAGTATACTATTTAGCATATGATTCACTCATAAAATACATAAGCAGCTGTCAGCAGAAAACAGGCCATGTTGAGATATCCATGCTGAGTGATTGGGCAGACTCGTGACCACATACATGGACCCCTCCTGCACACTAGCCTGCCATCTTCTGAGTCCTGCCTCAGCAAAATCTAGATGATAGACCTTTAGAAATACTTAAGAGTGAGTGTCATTTCTGAGAAGCCAGTGAACTACCATGTTGAAAATAGAATCCCTAATTGATTTATGGATAAGAATTCCACTAGTGTGACTAAGACGGTAAGAATGATGATACAGTGGAATTTGTGTTAATTTTTTAGGCTAAGTAAAATTAGTAATTTAAAATATGCTTTTAAAAAAAGTTTCTGTAGATTGACTAATGTGGTCGCTGTGGTTAGTATAGATGTGAATCATGAAATGATCTTTAACTTTTGAGATGAAGTATTTTAAAGACTCAAGTGTCTACAGACTTCCATATATTATTTTAGTATTCTAGCACATAGCAAATTGCTTTTATTTTTGGAGAAATTATATGATTATTTTGATAGTACACCTAAAATTTAGTATATAACAACTAATTTTTCCAATGTTTGTCTTTATAGAACTACAAATTTAAAATGTATAACTTTGTGGGTTTGTGAGATACACTTTTCTCCAGCTACTTTTTATTTTTTAAATAAAAGGGCATTTAGTTTAAATATTAAATTTTTCAGAGAAAGATAAAATCCACCCCCAGGCATAAAATAAGCTCTAGTGACACAGGTAATGTGGAAAACTTGAAACAGTTATTTCTTTTTATTTTTATTAAAGATTTTATTTATTTATTTGACAGAGAGAGACACAGCGAGAGAGGGAACACAAGCAGGGGGAGTGGGAGAGGGAGAAGCAGGCCTCCCGCGGAGCAGGGTGCCCGATGCGGGGCTCCATCCCAGGACCCTGAGATCATGACCTGAGCCAAAGGCAGACACTTAATGACTGAGCCACCCAGGTGCCCCGAAACAGTTATTTCTTTATTCGTTTTAAAAGTCCCATAATTGAAGAAAAGGAAACTTTTAAAATGACATACATTAATCCTGTTTGCAGTTATTATGCAGTAAAATGATGATCGTACTTTCCTGGAATATAGCTGAGAACTAGGAACTAATAATCAGAAAATATGGAATTCAAAGAGACCTCAGTTCAGATCTTCACTAATTTTTGGACTTTTATTTTTTTTAAAGTATCATCCTTCTCTCCACCCCATCTGCACCTGCCCTAATAAAAGCAACTATAGATGCTGGGTGTGTAAGTGGAATGTCTTGTTGAAGCGAATTGGGGAAATTGAGCGTTTTACCTGCTCAGCGGAAGTTGTACCCCACCCTACAACTCCATAACACCACTTCAGGTAGCGCCATGAATCGCACATTAAAAATTATTCTAGGTTCTCTCCTGAAGAAATCCACTCAACGATATTTGTGATTGGTGGACATACAGTCTTTGTTTTAATACTTCTGATGTGTGGAAATTTAAGATAGTAAAGTAATTCATCACATTTTGAGGCAGTTTAGATTCTTAGAAAAATCTTATATAAATAAAGCCAACCTGTCTGAGTAGCTTTGATCTATTTTCTGCCACTTTTTTCAGTATTGAGCCTAATAAATATTAAAAGATTGCTATTATATAGCCCTTTCTCCTCAGTCCCCCTTTTTCCTAGGTAATGTATCTCTACTTCCTTCAACATTCTGGAACCACCACTATCTTATTCTTCTGGTTTATCACTGGTTTATTAGTATTGCTCTTAAAATCTGATACTCAGAGCTGAGTAAAGTGCTTCAGAGAGGTGAACTCTGTATTAGTTCAGAACTTAAGATTACACTGACATTTTGATTCCCATATCACACTTTTGGTTCACACTGAAATTAAGACCATCAAATCCTATAGTTTTTTAAAAATTGAACTATTCCTTATTTTATGTTTTAGTTAGTTCTCTAATGAGTTGCCTGTGTACAAGTTTGCTAGGGATAAATACAGTATTATTTCCTTTGTCATCCACTTTAGAGATGGATGAACTGGCTATAAAAAAGAAATTTAGGAGAACTCCTAAAGATGAAGGGGACATACTTTTCCCTATTTCTCTCACTAAGTATATCTAAAACCCTGGACATTAGTATAAAAAACAAATAAAAGAAGACTCCAAAAGGTAGAGAGAAGAAGGGAGACTTTCTAGGGACTGTAAGACTTCGGGAATGACTTGATGGGTTCTTTGAATTTTCTGATGGCCTTGTATAGCCAAGACTGGATAAGCCAATAGATTATAAACATCAGGTACAGAAAGCTAGGCAAAAGACTTTTATTTTTAATTTTTTAAAAGATTTATTTATTTATTTTAGAGAGAGAGAGCATGAGCAGGAGGTGCAGAGGGAGAGAGAATCTCAAGCCAACTCCACACTGAGTGCAGAGCCCGATGCAGGGCTCAATCTCATGGCCCCGAGATCATGACCTGTGCTGAAACCAAGAGTCAGATGCTTAATCAAGTCACCAGGTGGCCCAAGGAGGAAGACTTTTAGGCATTCCCTTCTCTACTTTAGCCAAATGCCACAGAAAAAGTGTGGTACCACCCCCACCCAGGCCAGAAAAAGCTAAATGAGGAACTTAGAATTCCCTCCTCATGAGATGTAACAGAGTGTCCCACCACCACCATCAGAGTGGTATCAGAGAGGGTCAAGCAGAGAACTTGGACTTCTTCCCTCCTGGCTGATGGTGAGCCTTCTCTTCCCATTTTACCTCCCACCCCCACTATGTTAATGAAGAGCCTGGACTTCCATTCCCACCCAGCAGTAATGAGGGGTCATTTCTCTGCCATCCTGAGGCTGTGTCAGAAGAGACCTGTTGGAGACTTGTGTCTTTCAACATCACCCAGCAGTAACAAGGCTACTCCCAGTGCATTGTCAGTGGAGACCACGTAGAAAGCCTGGACTCCCACCTGCACTCAGCAGTAGTGAGGGCTCCCCACACTCAAATGTCAGTGGAGGCCAACTGGGAAAAGTGGACTTCTCCCTCCACTTGGCAGTAATGAAGTGGTGCCCCCCTACGTCTGCCCTTCCCCTGCTAGAACTGTCAGAGAAAGCCAGTGAAAACACGTTTTAAATAAGGTCCTGAGACTTATAATATGAACATGTCCAGGTTTCATTTGAAGATCACTCGTCATACCAAGAACCAGGAAGATCTCAAATTGAATGATAAAAGACAGTCAATAGATAGCAACACTGAGATGTCAGAGGTATTAAGTGTTAGTGACAAAAATCATAAATTGGTCGTGATAAAAATGCTTCAGTGAGCAGTTACAAACATGCTTAAAACAAATGAAAAAGTAGATAACATCACCAAAGAAATAGAAGATATAAAGAAGAACCAAATAGAAATTTTGTTACTAAGAAGTACAAAACCAAAATAAAAAACTCAATGGATAGGCTCAACAGGAATATGGAGGGGACAGAGGAAAGAATCCGTTGGGGCTCCTGGGTGGCTCAGTCATTAAGTGTCTGCCTTCAGCTCGGGTCATGATCCCAGGGTCCTGGGATCAAGCCCCACATCAGGCTTCCTGCTCGGCGGGAAGCCTGCTTCTCCCTCTCCCACTTCCCCTGCTTGGTTCCCTCTCTCACTGTGTCTCTCTCTGTCAAACAAATAATATCTAAAAAAAAAAGAATC